AAAAAAAAAAAAAAAAAAAAAAAAACAAATCAATCACAACCCAACAATTAAAAAACCACAAGAAACCGCCTAAGATTCAACCCTGTTCCAGAAATTCAAAATTGAGACAATGGGGGAAACAGAAACAAAAGGAAATCAAAGAAGAACAGATCGAGAAGCGAAATTAGAAGGAGGAAATGGAAGAGGAAGAGAAAGAGAGAGAGGGATTACCTGCTGGTGAGTGCCTCTCCTGGGCTTCGCGAAGGGGAATGGAAGAATAAAGGAAAAGACGAGTGGAATTTAGGGGGTGGGTTTGGGTTAGGCTTTGTTGGGTGTTCTTCGATTTTGGGTTTTCGGTAGTTATTCGGAGCAAACGCAATGAACGGATGACAGAGAAGCAAACGCGGAGCAATGGCGGAGAACTTTTCTTCTCCTTCCCCCCTTTGTGGTTTTTTTTTTTTTTTTAATTTAATTTAATTTTTTATTTTAATGAATTTCTAATTTTAAAATAAGTAATTATTGGGAATTGTAAAGCAAAATAGCCAGAAAATTTGTGGTGGATATTTACTTTTGTTCTAATGCTTTTAATTGCTATTTATTTCATTGACTTAGTTGACTTTAATTTTAAAATTATTTTACCCTCTATTTTTAATTCTAATTATTATAAAATGAGAGCAAAATATTATTTTTTTTTTCAAAAAATGCCGGTAAAATAATTAAATATTAAAATTTCACGAAAATAATAGGGGTCGAGATTTTTGAAATATCTAAATGATAAAGGTAGTTTTTGGTAAAAGACCGTACTTATATCAACATACTCTCAATCACATTAGGAGTATTCGTAGGTTAAGTTAGGTCGGGTTAAGACATTTTTTAGACTCGACTAAATTATTCGAACGGTAAATTTTTTTACGCTTATGTGACTAAAGCAGTCTAAAGAACAAAATTGAAAATTATAAAAGAAACAAAAATAATTAAACAGTATAGCAATGACCCCGACAGAAATACCGATAACGGCAAAATACCGACCCTCGATAGAAATCTATGTAATAAATAGCGATATGAATAGTATAACAATGACCCACGTTGTTTTAGAATATCGATACCTGTTGCACGTCCTAGTTTTCATGCAAAAGTTTAGTAAATTTCTATGATTAGGTTAAGGATAATATTGTAATTTTCAAACGAATGAGAATATTTTCAAACTATTGTAATTTGTAAACGAACGAGAGTATTTTTTAAATAGATAGGCTAAGGGTAATATTGTAATTTTAAAACAAATGAGAATATTTTTAAACTATTGTAATTTGTAGACAAACCAGAGAATTTTTTAAATAGACAGGTTAAGGGTAATATTGTAATTTTAAAATGAATGAGAATATCTTCAAACTATTGTAATTTGCAGACAGACGATAGTATTTTTTAAATAGACAGGTTAAGGGTAATATTGTAATTTTAAAACGAATGAGAATATTTTCAAACTATTGTAATTTGCAGGCAAACGAAAGTATTTTTTAAATAAATAGACCAAGGGTAATATTGTAATTTTTAAACGAATGAGAATATTTTCAAATTATTGTGATTGGTAGAGAACGAGAGTGTTTTTTTAAATAGATAGATCAAGGGTAATATTGTAATTTTAAACGAACGGAACTATTTTTCAAATAGATCGATAAAGAATAATATTGTAATTTTCAAATCTACTAAGATTATTTTTCAAATATATGTATATATTAACATCTCCAACTGAATTGCGAATCCAAGTAGAGGCTACATATATGTTAAACCCCGTTAGTTCATTCCTCAGTCGGTGGCGCTGCTAAACCCCCTGCCTTTCTTCAAGCAATGGCGGATGAGATAAGTTCTGACTATGGCGATGCCTTTAATCGGCACCCCCAGTCTCCTTTGATCGTCTTGAATCAAACGAGTTCTGCCTTCAGGATCTCTGCCGATGACAGGAAGCTCCCTTTGATCGTCTTGAATCAAAACCAGGAGTGTGAAATGATGAACAGTTGGAGTTCCGCTTCTGCCGAAGAGAATCCAGAAATTTCAGAATCTTTTGTGGAGAAGATGGTCATGTGCGATTCGGCTTGTGTGTCTTCTGAAAACAGAGTAAACATGAGGAATCAGGTGTGCAAGATTCGGAATCTTGATGTGGAACTCAGAAAAGAATCTCTCAAGGTTGACGCTGCACACGATTTTGAAATGCTCGGTGCCGTGGAAGATGTTAATCAAGAAGTTGTGATTGATAGAGTAGAGGAGAAAGATTTTGCAAGAAGTGTAGTGAGTTTTGATGGAAATCAAGATTGTATGAGGGAAGAACTTGTTCAAGAAGTTCGATCAATCGAGAAGTTGCTGGATAAAGAAATCGATTCTCGGAGCATCTTGGAAAAGAAAAAGAAATTACTATCGGAAGAAGATGAAATTCATGTAGACAAGGGAAAGAATCCCTCTAACTCAGGAGGGATCGTGGATCAGAAGATTGCCGATCAGCAAAATGATTCTAAACACATGAATTTCCTGAGACGAAGTCATTTATCTCTCAGAAATTCATTGAAGATCGAAGTAATAGACGAGACTGCATTAGTTGAACCAATTCATGTTTCCAAGATTGGAAACGGAGAAGGGATTGGTATTGTTTGTCCAACAAGGCCAATGCAGATCAAACTGGACAAATCCCATGAACCTGACAGAGGAGGGAAAAAGGCTAAAAGATCGAGGAGGAGGGCAAGGGAAGGCAAGGTATGTGAGATGCATTGGAGCCTGGGGAATGTGAATGAACATCAAAAGAATGTGGAAGGAAACAAGATAGTGTATTCCATGAAGGACATGGAAGCACTGAGGTTTGTGAATGTTGCAGAACAGAGGAGACTGTGGAAAGCTATATGTAAGGAACTTCTGCCCATCGTGGCAAGGGAATACAGTAGCTTAACAAGCTCGAATTACCCTATGAAGATAGGCTCCACCTCTGATCCTAGGCAGCATTTGGTGAAGAGAGAAGAAGCCCCTTCGATTATGAGTAAGTATTTCTGTTTATGAATGAATGATGGGTCTATAACGGAGTTGCTTATGAAGTTTGGATTTGAATTTCCTCTCTGATAAATATGAAGTTTGTTTATGAATGGTTGCTTAGGGTTCTTTAGATTTTGAAGTTCTTTAGATTCTGATGGTAAACCACGTTTTGAGTTGAAGATTCTGAGCACCAACTTGTTCATATTTGTTCCTTGAAAACGAATGCTCTTGATAATTTGTTGTCATGGGTTTATGGTTTTGATTGTGTCATTTTGATGGTTTGAATTTGTGTTGTGCACAGGTGTTGTTGCTGCAAGGGGAAGATGGAATCATATGAATATTTTTGTGCATTGAAGAAGGGTCTAAATCAATCCAACTAAAGACATTTTGTGCATCAAAATCAACATGTTTTGTCTGTACAAATATACAGATTACATCAAATTTCTGTTCCTTTTTGTATAGAAATGGTTACAGTCGCATTCTTTTGTACATGCTGCAAGCTCAATAATATGGTGCTAAATAATATGAAAGAAATCATTTCTTTTTTACTAGTAGTTTGTGCGTAGTGATTTTGTTCTCTCTCTTTATTTAAACTAACATCAAACCAACCAAATCGTAAGTTTATAAGTTCATGAGTTCATTAAAGTTGAACTTGGTAAAATGAAATGGTTGAATAATTGAAAAATGAGATTATCCAAGAATACACATTGAATGCTAAAATTATGCATTGAGTTTCTGGAAGTAGAACCATAATAAAAAAAAGTGTTTGAGTTTCTGGAAGTAGAACCATAATAAAAAAAAGTGTTTGTGTGATTGTTCTAAAAGAAATGAAACAAAAGATACGGTAGAACTAGGACACTTATTGTATGAGGTCTACCCAATGCTAGATGCAGAGGTACATAATAGATCGATATGAACATCATAAACTGTCCCGTAATAAAACTTGTTGTTGTTGATACTTTCTTCTCGATTCCTTGGCAACCGAACACAAATTTTGTAGCATCGAAACCCTCTTACAGTCCTAGTGTAAGTGAAGATGGCGATGATAATAAATATTACATTCCTAACCTTATTTTAAATGGAGACCTTCCACTATATATATATATATCAATCTCTGCCTCCCAACAAATTGGGGGAAGAAATGCAAATTAGTAAACCATAAAAATCTGACCATATCCTTTTATCATTAATGTAAATACAAAGAATGACACCAAGAATTTTGAAAATTAGCAACTATAGAATGTTCAGCTACAACTCACAATTACTCTTTACACAAATGAAATATCAAAACCCAAAAAGAAAATGCAAAAAAGAGTTTATGTTTGTTTCTTAGTTCTTTATCTTTCCTTCATTTTTTTTTTCTTTTTTTTGGGATAACAGAGTCCTCATCATTATCAACTGCGAGAGTGTTATCTACTCTTGCCATCTGAACAAAAAATTGGGCCTCCAAGCAAGAGTGGTTTACAACTTACAAGTTCATCTGCCAACGGATTTATAACCTCCCTTCTCAAACGGGAACACGTCTACCCCGATATTTGTCGACGAACTGCAATATATAAAGAAACACATAAATCTGCAGTCCAGAAAAGTTCATGATGTGTAATCGGAATTCAAACAAAAACTTGAATGATGCTGACTGATTTGGACCAGTGGAGATTTAACTAGTCCATGAAAGTAAATACAAATGCAAACTAAGAACTTAGTACGGCATGATGCAACTAATATGTTCGCTATTAGTATAGCATTTGGAATCATTGCATACACCAGGGAAGAAGTATTGGCCATGATGAGACTGATAGAAACTTGGCTATAACTCCATTGTGGAATGGGAAGAAGATAACCTTAACCTTACATCATCACCTATACCTATACTCCCCGTGAGGAGCGCGCGCACACACACACACACTATGTTTATAAAACTTGTGTATCAAATGGACTCCATTAAATCATCCGCTACTACCACCCATCTAATCGTTCACACTTGAACATAGCACTTCTAATAGAGACCTCTGGTATCCTTACAGCTATTTTCTGGAATCAAAGCTTCTAGTCGCCATAATGATAGCCCAAATATTACAAAATTGAGGTATTTTGTGAGACCCCAATGCCCCCACCTTACATTATCACCTAAAAATTTGCGGTCCCCAAAAATTTTCTCTTTTAACCACTTTTATTCTTTTGCCCTTCATCAATCATCCTCCACCCATTAGCTGAAACTGCTTGTTGCAAGAAACCAAGCACACCTTCAATTGACATTCCTCCCCTTCTTACCCTTGTTCAACTTTCCCTCTTTGATATTCCAGTTGTATTGGGGGGTTTATCATTGCCTTGTATATAAGAGGTTGCTTTTGTAATCATTTCCACTTCATCTTTCCCGTAAATTTTGTTTTTTCAAAAAAAAAAAACATGGAAGGAAAGACAATTGGTGCAAATTT